GAAAGGAAAGGAAAGGAAAGGAAAGGAAAGGAAAGGAAAGGAAAGGAGACGAGGAAGAGAAGAGTTGGAAGGGACCTTGGAGGTCTTCAAGCCCAACCCCCTCCTCAGATAGGAAACCCTACACTACTTCAGACAAATGGTTATCCAGTCTCTTCTTAAAAACGTCCAGCACTGGAGCACTTACAACTTCTGGAGGCAAGTTGTTCCACTGATTAATTGTTCTAAAGGTACACGACTGTGCTTTTCCCAGAGTTCCCACAAAAGGGAAACTAGCTTTGCACCAGCAAGAAAGACACGGGGCTTTTCCTGTAGCATTATCCAAGGTGGCCCTCCCTCCAGCGACGCCACCTCCCAAATGAGCATCACGACTAGGTAGGTTCACTGCCGGCAGGATTTAACCGCCACACAAAGCACCAGCTTATCTTCCCACCAATGTGGGACCTATTTATCTACTCGCACAGAACAGGCTTCAAACTGCTAAGTGGGCAGCAGCTGAGGCAAGTTATGGGAGCTCCCACTGCCACGCAGTGCTAGGGTTCGAACTTCTGGAGCAAAGACCATCTCCAATGTCATTAAGATGATGATGATGGTGGTGGTGGTGGTGATGATGTAATGATTAGCACCAATTACAAATACTAGGCACCACAGTTAAAAAAAAAAGGACAGAGAGAAAATGGAATGAGTTCAGACCAAAATGGTTAATGAGACTGGAAACCAAGCCAGCTTTCAATAAATAAATCTAACAGGACTGTTTATACAGAGCTACATAACTCCAGCTCATAAAAATTATACAATGAGAATTAACTATGGCTTGGGAAGTAACTGAGAGCTGAAGTGGCAAAATAAGATGCCCTTAATCTCAGTTTTTTTTAAAAAAAAGGAAAATGCACATTCTCAGTTTAATGAAAATCCAGCCAGGTGAAACTGCTATTTGTGGCTGAATTCCAAATGCTTGACACAAAGCATGAACAAAACAAAACAAAGTTCTACTACACAAGTCAAGTAACAAAATCCAATTTAATTTCTAATTCGAAAGAGCAGAATGGAACATTTCGATTTCTGAAGCCCGGGTCTAAATAAATACTTACAAAAGCTATTTTAACTTCAAAAGAATTTGAGGGAGGTTTGGCCTGCACAAACGACTAAAGTAATCGCATTTTTGTGATACTACACTTGACTTTAGCCAAAAGGCAAAAAAGACTTTTCCTTGGTCTGTTCCCCAAAGGATATCCTCACCAGTTATACCATCAATGGTCCCCTTGCGGCATACACTTTGGTTTTGACCCAGATTGATATTTTTATAAATGGGAAAAGTTCATAAACATAAAATTCACAAATTTCAGGTGCATTTTTTCCAATGTTCAACACTTCTCACCTGCCAAGGGTTGTCAAGATCAGGAAATAGGATCATACCTTTTTAGTCCATCGTTTCACCCCATTATATCCTTTGGTTACCAGTTGTCTATGGAAAAAGCTGTTGAAGAAATGAACCTATAAAGACAGTTTGGTAAGCAGTGAATTTACTGGTCCAACCAGAGCTCATAATTCCAATACTGGACTGAGTCCTCAACAGTAAAACTACTGCATGTAATAAGAGAAGGAAAAGGGCCCATCTTTAGACATCTATCTGGTTTTGTACATCAACTAACAGGATAGGTACAGACTTCAACAGATAGTTAGGACTGTATGAGCCAGAAAGTGGGCTGAGGAAATATCCAGACCCCTCACATCCTGAACATAAACAATTCCAATTTTTCCCTTCAGGATGCTGATATAGGGCATTGTGTGCCACAAACTAGACACAAAGAGTCATCCCCCCGGCCGAAGACACAAGCCTGAAGGTGATGAATGAGACTTCATCGAAACGTCGCCTAGATACTTCCAATTTTACGCGGGAGAAAACCCGAACAACCAAAGATCCACATACAAATACCTGCGAAAACCTCAGTATATATATATATATTTGTTTTCTGAGGTTCTCGCAGGTATTTGTATGTGGATCTTTGGTTATTTGGGTTTTCTCCCATGTAAAATTGGAAGTATCTAGGCGATGTTTCGATGAAGTCTCATTCATCACCTTCAGGCTTGTGTCTTCAGCCGGGGAGACTACACACCAAAGATACATTCCTTTATTCTCAATTGGCCAATAAAGTCCTCCCCTCCCCTCCCCTGTTCTGCTCTACTCATTCTATTCTAAAACCAATTTATGAACCTAAGCATAAACATTCAAATAATATTCATAAAAAACATATACACAACATAGGCAGCTTAGACTGAGCACTTCAGTTACTCTACTGTTCCCCACCATCACCCAACTTTTCAGGTGATTTGACTGATTATAAATAATTCTGTTTGATAAATAAACCAATTCTCAGGTGGTGGTGGTTGTTTTGATAATTCTTTATTTTCCTACCTGCTCTTCCTTTGGATTTTATTTGGCTAATTTTACCTAAAAAGACAAAATGGAGGATACCTACCTTATCAGGGACTGCATCCATTATTAGCTCGCCATACATGTTGATAATCTGAAATAGTTTAGAAAAATTATTTTTTATACAAGAAAGAATATTATGTCCACCGCATAGTCATCTTATGGAACATAAAGAAGTATATATCAAGTTCTCTATGCTTAATTTACAACATGCACAATCCAGTTTTAGGCAAAGGAAAAAAGAAAATTAATATCTCACATTGATTAAAAAAATGTTTATTTTCTCTTATACCATAACTTCATAACAGTTGAGGGGGAGGGTGTCAAAAAAATGTTATGTTGGGATGTTCTACATCCATGTAGCATATTCTGGTATTATTACCTGAATCTAATATTTCTACAGACATAAATGATAGAAAAGAAACCCAGAACTTCTTCAGCTGTTCATTATTTGCCTAAAGCCCAACTCTGCATATTTTCCTGTACTTACATTGAAATGAAGCATATGAATGCATCCCCTTCAAAGTTCTCCAGATAAAAAGATTTTAAAATCAAAGGCTACCTTGAATAGCTGGCTCCTGTTTGGTGTGAGTGTGTGATTTGTTTTTAAAGTCCCACTTGTGGATTTTGTATAGCGAATCACACAGATCATGTCATGACCGGCTATAAGCCGAGGCCATATACGGGTCCAGTATCTTGACTTTTTTTTTAATATAAACAGTGCTACACTTCAATGATTAGATGGGATAGATATCGGTATTTGAACATAGATCTTTTTAACATGTGTACTTTTTTTTTCTGTCTGCAGGTGTTTTATTGTTCTACATAAAGACTTCAAGTGACTCTTACTGTGCAGCAGAGTTCGCTGGTTGATTTTGGTAAAGTTCCCATTACATAATAGTTCTTTTGTTTATAACAGAAATGGGCGGCAGCTCTTATACAGGCCTCATCATTATTATTTTCAGAATTATAAAGGAATGCTATTAATGAAATAGGCTAGGTAAGATTTCATTTGTCTGGAGCAGTCCTGGTGCATAGTGGCAGATGCGTCTGAAGGAATCGAAGAGGGCAGTTACCCCAGGTGGCACCGATCTAGAATGCTTTCATTGAAAAAAGTTATTAAATGATCATGGTGATCAGAACAAAAATGGAAAGATGAATGACAAGCATCAAAAGAATATAAGAAGATGCTTGAATAAGCCTGTGATTCCACCAAGTCTTGAGGCAGCAGCGATGAGATGGGATGTTCCAAGCGCAAAGCATTCTCCGTTCTTCATTAACATTTGCATTTTATTGGGTTTTACTCATCTAGGTGAAATGTTTATACAGGTAGTCCTCGACTTACAGCCACAATTGACCCCAGCATTTCTGTTGTTAAGTGAAACATTTGTTAAGAGAGTTTCGCCTCATTTTACGACCTTTCTTGCCATAGTTGTTAAGTGAATCACCACAATTGTTGTTAAGTGAATCCGGCATCCCCACTGACTTAGCTTGTCAAAAGGTTTCAAAAGGCGATCACATGACTTTGGGACACAGCAATGGTCGTAAGTATGAGTCAGGTGCCATCTGAATTTTGATTCCCATGATCGGGGGGATGCCCCAAAGGTCGTAAGTGTGAAAAACAGTCCTACGTCATTTTTTACACTGCCGTTGTAATGTCAAAATGGTCACTAAATGAACTGTGCTAAGTCGAGGACTACCTGTAACGCTAGTCCATATATATGGTAGCACCTACGCTAAATAAATAAATAATATAGTGAATTCCAAACAGTTTGGGGAGAAGACCTCACAAAGGAATCTCCAGCGTCCACCAGACAAAATCACTGCATTTCACATTTGCTGGTTCAGGGAAATGATTTGCTTAGAGGTAGTCCTTGACTTGTGAACTTGTGACCTTACTGACCAGTCTTACTGACCTACCTGAAAAGGGGGACTTAGGACCCAGATCCAAAGTTCTGACAGTGACCCCTGCACAGTCCTGTGACTACATGTGGTTGCTTGGCAACATGCCATATTTACAGCCGTTGGCAGCGTCCTGAAGTCACCTGACTTCCTTCCGGTTTTCTGCAAAACCGCAGCAGAGCGAACAATGGATCCGCTTCGCTATCATGTGTCAGCATTCCAGCAAACCTCCATTCCAATCAGTAACTCCGAGACAAACATATCTCAAAAGTACCTTTATTAGAATAGCACCTGGCACATCTGTGGAATCCCGAATCTGAAAGGTTTCGGACTTCACACAATTCCCAAACAGCAAATCCATCCCCCCCCTCCCCCCCCCGGCCATCATCACATCACATGGGCCAATCATGATCCGTCCAAAAGTAAGATCCTTTTTTTTATCCTATGCCATATCCAATGACCTTGGATAGAAAGAAGAAGATGACGACCTTGGACAAAAGAATTTTATTTTGTCTACTTAGAGCTACTCAATTGAATCCACCACCCTACCACTTGTGGCAGCATGGAAATAGCTTCCAAAACTGACATCGTATTCACTTAACAACTGCCACCAAAAATAAATAAATAAACCCCACCCATGAAATCAGGTCAGTTGTCATTTTACAACCATTACAACCTACAACCACAAAGGCAGGCTCCATTACAGGGGTAACTATGTCTCAAAAGTTGCATGAGCCGTGGTGGCGCAGCGGTTAGTGTGCAGTGCTGCAGGCTACTTCTGCTGCCTGCCGGCTGCCTGCAATTTGGCAGTTCGAACCTCAACAGGCTCAAGGTTGACTCAACCTTCCATCCTTCCGGGGTGGATAAAATGAGGACCCAGACTGTTGGTGGAAAATATGCTGACTTTGTAAACTGCTTAGAGAGGACTGTAAAGCACTATGAAGAGGTATATAAGTCTAGGTGCTCTTGCTATTTACCCTGTTGCTCCTGCCTGAAATACTTCGTCTCACAAGCTTAAGGTATTAAATAGTAAGGTTGCGTTAAAAATAAAATAAATGAGTTTCATTGGCTGTGGGAACAATACGGCCTATGCTGTTCCTTGTATGCTAAAACATCTTTTGGCATTTGTAATGTTTATCAGCCTCTAAACTTTCATCACGATAGCGAACATCTTTGAGCAGAGCAGCTGATTCAAGGTCACTCTTGCATACAGCTCAATTCTTCAGGAACTCTGCAAGTAGCTAATGCAAACAAATATAAAATAAAGGAGAAAAAAGGAGACCCCCCCCCCCCCGGTTTCTTCACAGCAGTTATAATTATATTATCGCACAGTTCCTTTTTTTAATCTTCTTCTTTGAAAGTTTCAATAACAATCGTATATAAAAAAGGAACTCTGCCAGCAACAAATAATCCATTTTAACTCCTTGGGGGGGAAAATGCAAGATAAAAATTTGATAAATAACCCTTTTTTCTTTCGTGGCCTTCTCAGAATTCAGCAAAAATACAGTATACAGATAAGAATAAAATGTGTTCCGAACTAAAGGTTTGTACTGAACTTTTTATCAGTTAGCTAAAACTTAACATATCTATCTTTTGAGAAGTTCCTTACTTCTAAACCGGAGTTCTACAGAAACAAGCAAGATGTTCTCCTTCATAGGATTAGCACTTTAGAACAAATATATCACACAGTAGCCTAATGTAATACAAATTACACATTTTTGAACAGACATGCAGGCACACATACCTTAATTCTAGGAAAAACTGGATTATTTGCAAATACATTCTCACAACTAATTAAACCAAAAGCTATAGATTTTCCAACACAACACAACACAACACACACACAAACAGACACACCATTTTGGCAAGTAAGCATTTAAATCACGTCTTTAAAAAAACATTTGTTCCCATTTTCAGGCAAAGATAGAGATCATCACTTAATACATTCAAAGTATAGGAAAAAAAAGAAATTGTTCGGTTATTCTCTTTAGAGATTCATCGTATCTTGCTGTTCTAATCATTTTTCTTTACGAACATATTTTTCTCAACTGCCTACGAATGCCATTTTAGAATCTGACGTTTTAGCTCTCGCATTTCTTTATATAGGTCAAGCCATCTTCTCCCACCTGAACAACCTATCCAAAATGAATTTAGAATTCATTCAAATATAGCTGTCACCTACCTTGTAGATTAGTGGGGTCAGAACAATCTGAATGGGCATTTATTACTTACTCTAAGTTTACTGAATGGTATGTTACACATTACAAAAAAAATAAGATGTTGAGACTTTGGGAAAAGTGCAAAGAAGAGCAAATTAAGATGATTAAAGGTCTGGAGATAAAAACAGGAAGCAGGGTGGCAAAAAATTGGGTTTGGCCAGTCTAGAGAAAAAAAAGGACTAGGGGTGACATGATAGCAGTATTCCAGTACTTGGGGGGCTGCCACAAAGAAGAGGGGGTCAACTTATTTTCCAAAGCACCGGAGGGCAGGACAAGAAACAATGGATGGAAACTAATCAAGGAGAGAAGCAACCTAGAATTAAGAGAAACTTCCTAACAGTGAGAACAATTAACCAGTGGAACAGATTGCCTTTAGAAGTTGTACGTGCTTCATCCCTGGAGGTTTTTAAGAAAAGACTGGACAGCCACCTATCTGAAATAGTATAGGGCAGGGGTCGCCAACCTTTTGGACCTCAGGGACCACCAAACTCATAATTTTAAATCCCAGGGACCACTACCCGGTTCTGAGGGCATGGCCTAATTTGTGGACATGGCTTGGTGGTCATGTGACTGGCTGGGCATGGCTTGTATGTAAATATTATAAATGTTTATATAAATATTGAATTTTTTTTAATAAAAAAGAGCAATTTTTACCCAAAATCAGGCAAAGCAGGCAGGCAGATTGAGTTGCTCACAGAATCACAGATTCATTCAGAGATCTATCTATCCGCGATTGGCTAGCTCAGTCGGTCACATAAAATTTGCTTGCAAGCAAACTCACAAAATTAACTCACAACACACCATGTATGTAAATATTGAATTTTTTTATAAAACAAGAGCAACTTTTACCCAAAATCAAGCAAAGCAGGCAGGCAGATTGAGTTGCTCACAGAATCGTTCAGTGATCTATCTGCCATCGGCTTGCTCAGTCTCTCAAATTTGCTTGCCGTGAGTCTGCACTGAATAACAGAACCTTCAGTCCTAAGGGAGGTTCAGCTGTACTTAAAAGCAGAGCCGAAGATCTAAAGACTAGCTAAAAAGCAAGCAATCCAACCATTTCCTGCTTTCTTGCTAATCTAAATCTCCCAGCACAGCAGAAGAGCTGATGGTTGGAAAAAGGAAAAATAGCAATTTTAGTAGACAAGTTTGCCGGGTAAGGAGTGAGTGGGCGGGGCGGGTTCCCCATGGGCCATGTGGGCTGCGCAGCCTTGTGTTTCTGCACAGCCTGGATTAATTGCTTTGGGGGGGTGCTCTGGGGGTGAGATTTCTCTGCGGCCCACCAAAATTTTTCGCCGCCCACCGGTTGGCAACCGCTGGTATAGGGTCTCTTCCTTGAGCAGGGGTTGGACTAGAAGACCTCCAAGATCCCTTCCAGCTCTATTCTGAATGATATTTCCAGGTCTAAATTATCAGAGATTGTTCTGATGGTTTGTTATATATCTTTATGGAGATATTCTCTTGTTAGCTGGACTGAAAGTATCTCCAAAACTCCCTTTATAAGTTCCTGTGGTCCCTATTCAGGGTAGAGTCAGGGCAACTGGATGGAGCGGAGCGTTGACTGGCCGGATCCCCTTCCTGATGCCACATGGAGTTCAGAGCAGATATTTTTATTCTGAACCTTATGAGAGAAACATCTGCCACTACTTAGGATTGAACTCTCGACCTTCCAAGTGGGAAGCAAGCATCTTCACCATTAGGCCACCATGCTGCTCCCTGAAAGTTCAGCTTAGAGGATCCTTACTTTAGAAAAGCCTCTGTTGTGTAACACTGGCAATTCTTTCGAACACATTCTTCTAATATGTACAACCAGAGGCTCTGAACCTTTCTAAATAAGTGAGCACAACATTTTGAAAGAATTTTGGGCTCTTTCACTGAATGGTTAATTAACATCCAGGCACGGTCAGCAACAGAATACAAATCCACTGAAACGCTCCCCCTCCAATATTGCTTGGTGCTTCTTAGGACATTTTCCAAAGAAGCCAGCATTCCATGCAACTACCTGATCGTCAGCAAGCACCGTTTAAATCAGATACATCTTAGTGGATATTTATAGCAGAGTCTCACCTGGTCATTTAGCCAGTTCTGGCCATCAAGCGTTGTCAAATCATCCATATCCAGCATGTGCTTATTATAAAAGACCCGGAAATTACAAGTGGGAGATTTTGGATGCCTGGTCTGATACTTCATTATTTCTTTAGTGATGAATGGCTTTCTGCAACAGAATTAAAACAGCCAACGTAAAGTAATCCTAGTACTTGTGAGATACAGGTACATAAACCCATAAACATGGAATCTGGAATTAGCAGGAATGAGCAAAGCAGAAAATTATAGAGAGTTACTAACCGATGAGAAAAATCTTCATTAAAGACTTCCTTTAATCTTCCCATAACGTCTTTTTCACAAAGTGGAACTAAGCTGCCGTATTTCTTTATTACTTCATCTAGGAATCCTTCAAGGAAAAGATTGGTATATTAAAAAGTTGCAGAATTAAGTACAAAAGAGCTGGCTAATCTATTTCCACAGACAAGTTTCAATAAACCACTTTTTCATCTAGACAATACAGCACAAAATCAATCCGCAAGGTTAACTGATAAGCATGGTTGGTCAAAGATAGCACAGGTAGTCCTTGGCTTACAACAGTTCATTTAGTGACCGTTCAAAATTACAAGAGGACCGGTTTTTATTTACAACAGTTGCAGCAACCCCGTGGTCATGTGATCAAAATTCAGACACTTGGCAACTGGCCTTTTGTGACCTTCTGACAAGCAAAGACAATGGGGAAGTTAGATTCATTTAACAACCCTGTTACTAACTTAACAATTGCAGGGATAAGAAAAGTTGTAAAATGGAGCAAAACTTAGTTAACAACTGTCTTGCCTAGCAACAGAAATGTTGGGCTCAATTGTGATTGTTAGTAGATGACCAGCTGTATTGGAAGTAGACCTAGGATCCCAGAAATATGATTTCAAATCATAACGTAACATGAAGAAACAAAGTAATTTTCTCATTAAATCCAGCAATTTCATGCTTACTTCCGGACAGTGAACATCAGAAAAGAGACAGCGGTATTTCTCATAAAACCCACAATTCCTAGCCAGGAAGTTGGCTTTGGACGTACTTGCTGTAATGACTCAGAGCCGGAATCCTGACAGATTCAGAAGAAATTAGGGTAAACAGCCATAATCTATTGATCCAAAGAAAAGTAGACATTGTCAACTCATAAAATATTTCTATGGTCTTTATAGAGTTGCCAATAGAAAGGGAGGGGGGGGGAAAGGGGCTTGAAAGAGCAGCTTGGAAATCGAAAGTGCATTCCATACACAGTTTTTCAGAGATAGTAACTAGATGACTAAAGTTTCTGCTATGCAAAAATCTAACTGGAGAACATGATTGATGACTCTTGGCTATGGATGTGTCTCATTGGAGACAATGAATTATGTGACTCAGAGTAGGCTACACCCAGGCAGTGCCAGACATGTTAACTCCCAATAAATCCTTTGAAGTTTTTGAAGTTTGGCTCGAGACTCATGATTTAATTGGGGTAACTGCCGGAATCCTGATAGATATTGTATTCAAACAAATGATTCCAGCATTTTAAAATGCCTTACCAAAATGTTGCCAATAAAATTTATAAATCCAATCTTTCTGTATTTTAAGGATTTTGCATTCTTCCTTTAATTCCTTTTTTTTAGGTCTATAATTGTTCTCTCTATAATTAATTGCTACTTTAACAAGTATTTCAAAGAGTCTCTTTTCCAGAGTTTATTTTCTTGGAGGTTAGGTTCTAAGTGAAAAAAAGAATCGCTTCACCCAATTCCAATCACTGTTCTTCTACACCACTCCAACACTTTCTTTGTTTTTTTGGCTGTCCCAGCTTCATGGCAGCCATAATGGCTGCCTCTCCTCTTCGTCATTGGATGGGAGGGAATCCCTGGGTCCAGCTGGAGTGCTGCCGCTTTCTTTAAACTGCAGGGTGCCCCTCCTTTATTTGTCACCCCTACAGGGTGACTTTAGCCCCCCGGGGGGCTCCCACAAGGATTCAGTGCGGGTTCGCAGAGATCCACTCCTCAGGTCCAATCCCACCACAACGTCAAACCAGAAGTCACTTGTTTGAATATTGACTATTTGTAAAAAACGGAAATCTTTTGTGCAACACTGAAATCTAAGCTGAAGGTGCCATCTACTGGTGAAAGGAATATATACTAAACTCTTATAACCTTGGAAAACAATGATAAGACAAGGACACAAAAGTGCATCTACATAGCACTTGGAGATCTGCTGGGTTATCTATATTTTTACTTTATGGCTATTGCAGGTTTAATTGTGAGATCTTGAAAGACATTTAAAGCAAGTGATTTTTAAAACTAGGATCTAAGACTGAATTTACAGAATGGATTTAAGGAGACATTTGGAAATCTTCCTGGATCATTTAAATGGAACTAATTAACTAACTGTGGGATACAAAAAATTATAACCACTGCATCCCCCTGAGTAGCAACACCACGACTGAGCAAATGGTCTTTAAGCTGGCTCTTGGAAGTCACAGACAATTGAGACTCTGGGTCAGTGGCAGACTATTGACAGGCAATTGAGCAATATTCAGGCCTATTAAAAGACAAGATGTTACACCAGGGGCAGATGACTGGATTTCAAAAAGAAATGCTATTGATGCTTCAAAGTATTTATGATACGTTAACAAAGAATCACAGGGAGATAAAAAAATTTAATGCAGGACATTCTGGGGAAATCAGAAAATGTTCAACAAGGGACAACAAATAAAGATCAGAAAATGCAGGAAATAGAAGAAATAATAGAAAGAGCAGAAGAAAAAACAGACCAGATAAATCAACAAGAAGAACAAGAAAAGAGAGAAGACACTAAAGACCTATGAACCAAATCAGGGACAATATATATTAAGAGATCAAAAAATGGGATTGGATAAAAAGAAGACCTTTTTAAAGAGAAGATAGGGGCTTGGGCAGACCACCCCTCCCCTGGAGAGATGGCAGCAAAAGATAATAGAGATGGAAGAAATGTTCAGGTTAAATAGGAAAGATGTAAACAGAGACAAAGACCCAAGGGAGGAGTTTGGGAGGCAAGCTAAAAAAAAAAAAACAAGTAAGAATTGAAAGACTAATGCAGACAAGAGATGATGGTTAGAAAGGGAATGTTGTTTAATATAAGACTGGGGTTTTTTTTGAAAGCTAGAAGTAGGAATAAGATTAAGGGAAATATTATTATATAATATATTAAAAGTAATAACTAGATGTAAAGATTAGATGTTGACAGATGGTACCATTATGAATGTCTAAATAATATTGTGATTGTTATTAGAATGGCACACCAAAACACTGAACTAAACCATTATGAATGACTAATAATTATTAGATATGTTTAGCAATATAACTAAGATCATCTAGTACTATGGTCCCAGTCAGATAGATGGGGGAAGATGATACAGTTACAGAGCCTGTTTATTTAAATCTAGGATGGGAAGCATTTCTAGACAACAAGAGATTCAACAAGCATCATCTAGGACATTTGGAAGAAAAGATCTGTCTTAATAATGAAAGAAAACAGGCTGTTTTCCCATGCGTTCCGTTAATGAAGGGATGGGTGGGGAATATATTATGATAAGGAAGCAAATACCTTGGGTGATTGGTCTTCAACTACAAAGTGATTGGTCCAATCACCTCTTTCGAAACACTCATTGTAAATAACTGTAAAAAGCCAGTTTGGTCTCCAGTGGTTAAGGTTAGGTTGTTATGGCAACAGGCTAGAAACTGGAGATGGAGTTCAAGTCCCGCTTTAGGCATGAAAGCCAGTTGCGTGATTTTGGGCCAATCAGCAGGAGATATGAGTTCTAATTCCGCCTTAGACATGAAAACTGACTAGGTGACTTTGGGCCAATCAGCAGGAAACAATGAGTTCTAGTCCTGCCTTAGGCATGAAAGCCAGTTGAATTATTTTGGGACAATCAACAGTAGGCATGAAAGCCAGCTGGGTGACTTTGGGCCATTTACTTTCTCTCAGCCAACTCACCTCACAGGGTTGTTGTTATGGGGTAAATAGGAGGCAGAAGGAGTATTAGGTATGTTCACCGCCTTCAGTTATTTATCAAAAGTAATAAATGTGAAACAAAGGAAAGAGAGAAGCATGCAAAATCTACTTGTGTATTTGATATCCACATAGTATTTTTAACTGTTTTTATATGGTTAAATTGCTCTCAAGTCAAATTGATGTGATATTCAAGATACAGTCATGAAAATCTATACCAGATTCATTCACCAATCTCTAGTAAAAAGCTTATGTGCATTTTCATTATTAAAGTATCAAATTTGTTCATTACATCAATGATAAGTTTGCTTTACACCATTTCTATCTCTGAAATTCATGAAATACTAGAAGTATTTCATCCACTACTATATTCAGTAATTTATCTTAAGTTGATTTTGTGGCTTCCTTGTTGATTTGTTACATCCACAAATCCAACTGTGGCCACTTAAAGACTTTGAAGCAGACATGAACACATTAAGACCACAATAAGCGTTTCAAAGGCATGCGTGCATAATTTGGTCAGATTTAGACAGGCAAATATAAATCAATTTCCTCATCTTAAATCCATACTGAATTGTTTCCACATTCAGCCTGTTTTTTAAGAATGAAGTTTTATGCTTCTATATTCATGGAAGAATAAATGCATTTTAATACACGTTTCTCTTACTATATATGTTTTTGTCTCAAGCTCTTTTTGCCAATATATTCATTTCTGCATAGTTCTACTTGTATGCCTTCTAGAAATGTCTCTCTTTTTCTCTCCCTTTTGCATATTAATGTTTGCACAGTAATGCATACAAAATTATGAGAACTGCAAATGCCAAATAGTTCTACTTGGATTCATATACTGAGACAGATCTGCATTAAAATGAGAATCAACTTCTTTCCCATAAAATGCAATACAGGTTTTCATTGTGTTTTAAAGACGGAACTGGACAAACACATGTCTGATCAGAATTTTGAAATTTATTTTTCAACTCATCTACCTGCATACTTACTGCAAGGACTCCGATCTTACTAAGCCGCCAAACGACCTTGGAATTTAAAGTTATTGAGAGCATTCATGAAACCACTGCCACAACAGGCTGTAGGATTCAGGTGACCCTGAGGGCACAGATAAACCCTCAAGCATCCTCAATGACTCTCAGAAAGAGGACTAATGACCAGATGACTGCAAGGAATATAAATCATTCCACTTTCTGTCATTCAATTAGAACTGAAGAAGCTTCTTGGATGGGAAGTGAAACATCTTCAAGGAAAAACAGTTTGCCTTTTGAAAGAAAGCACCGTTGGGACAACCGCCACAATAAGCATGAAAACAGAAAATATCCACTGACAGGAAAGCAAACTAGGGGCCCTGTTTTCGAACACCATCATGGTTCCTATATCCGTAAGTCAGCTTTGGTTTTTCTTTTTAAAGGGAAATAGGCAAACCATGAAACAAAACACTCCATAGTAACTTCTCCCCTCTAGAATCTTGGAGATGGGACACAGAACCATTACTGGACATTAAATCATGCTTTGTTGGCAGCCTGCTAAATTTTCACTTTTAATTAAAGTAAAACAATCTAAAAAGAGACTAAACTAGATTGGTTACCAGTAGAGGTGTTCCTAGACATATTGAAATCCATTGGTATTTTACAGACCTCTCTGCTTTACTCTAAGGGTTTTCAAACTTGGCAAGCTTAAGACTTGTGGACTTCAACTCCCAGAATTCCTGAGCTAACATGACTGGAGGAGGAATTCTGGGAGGTGAAGTCCGCAAGTCTTAAAGCTGTCAAGTTTGAAGACCCCTGCTCTAATATGTCTGCAAACAAAGGGACTCAAAGGAAAGGAACAAGCAGGAGACAAAGAGAATTAAATATTCCCTATAATTTCTACCTTTTTTTTTTTTTACTATGAACTGGTAACCTGAATTGTCAGCTCTTGAAATGCCCCTTGTTTCATAGGCGCAATACATATTTTTTGCCATCCATCTATACCAGGGGTGTCAAACTTGCGGCATCACGGCGGCTTCGCATGACTTTTTCTCCCCTTCGCTAAACCAGGCAGGGGCTGGGTCACCACATGACGCATCCGGCCCGTGGGCTGCGAGTTTGACACCCGATCTATACTTTCTATACCAAGTTCATATGCAGGTAAGCCTCATTTTACAACCCTAATTGGAACCATTCCCACTGTTGAGCAATGTAGGTGTTGAGTTATCCCACCCCCTTTTGACACAATTAAGCAAATCCCTGCAGTTGTTAAATGAATCACACAGTCGTTAAAGGGAATCTGGCTTCCCCCAACTGACTTGGCTTGCCGGAAGCTGGCTAGGAAAGTCACACCTGGCCTTCACGTGACCCTGGGATGCTGCAACCATCATCAATAATCATAAGTGTGAGGACTGGTTGTAAGTAACGTTTTGCCAACGCCCTTGTAGCTGTGAATGGTTGCCAAAGGAAGGGTTCCAAGTCAAGAGTATCTATACTAACACAATCTGCATCTTGAGTCAACCACAGCTACCTTTGTAATCCTCGACTCTACAACCATTTTTTCAGTAACCAACATTTAAACAGAACTGAAAAAAGTGACTTATTGTCCTGCCCCTGGTGGAGACTGACTCTGAGGAAGAGGAGGAACAGCCAACAGGGAGTGGGAGTGTGGCTCCAGGGGTGGTGGAGGAGGCTGGGGAAGGGCAGAGGCTGGCTGAGCAGTCAGGGGAGGATCCAGGCCCATCCCCTCTCCGTCCTAGGGCACGCAGGGAGAGGATCAGGGGAAAGTGTGGTTTACTCGCTAGGAGAGGGCCTTGATCCTCTTCATGGGTTGCAGCTGTGAGTATGAGAGTTTGGAACTGCGTGTTCACAGGCGCTGGAGTCAAATTAGTGCTTTCCTTGGATGAGGTTTATCTTTGTTGGCGTTCTTCCCATGGACTCTCCCCGGTTATCTTCCTGGAATGTGTGATTAATTATCTTGGTTTGCCTTGAAACTCTCGTCAATGCGGTTTGTGTCTGGTTTCCTTTTGCTTCATTATCTATTTTTTTGAATTTAAATTGTGACTAATAAAACAGCGAAGGTAAGATGAAGGCATTACAAGACCTTGATTCATGTTTTAGTTTTTGTGTTATTTTTGAGACACTACGGGCCATCACGCTTAGAACTCTTTTTTCACATTTATGACCACTGCAGCATCCCCTTGGTCATGTGACTGAAGTTTGGACATTTGGCGACTAGCTCGTTTATGATGAGCTCGTCCTGAGATCACGTGATCCCTTTTGCAACCTTCTGACAAGCAAAGTCAACGGGGAACCCAGATTCACTTAACAACCATGTTACTAACTTAACTGCCGTGACTCACTTTAACAACTGTGACAAGAAAGATCATAAAATGGGGGCAAAACTCAATTAACAAATGCCTCGCTTAGCGATGGACATTTTGGGCTCAATTGTGGCCGTAAGTCAAGGATTACCTATGTCGACTCTGGACCAATATCTTCCCTAACCAGCAAAGGCCACTTCCTGTATTTCTCACAAGTAAGGCAGATGTCATTTCTCATGTAGCCTACACGACCGTACTAGAATTTGGTTTAATCTGTGATTTATTAACTGCATTTGAAATCATTTTTATTATATTAGCTTTCAGATGGTTTTTATTGTTTACATTTTGCTTTGATGATATAATTTATTCCTGTGAGCTGCCTGTCTTGAATCAGATGGAAGTCATTAGTGTATAAATGATGTAGTAAATAAATAATATGGAAATAATGTGGAAATATTAAGTTATATTATGAATTCCATGAAAACGGCTCTATTGTAGAACTTTGCAACTATTAAGAGCAATGCCGTGTTTCTCCCAAAATAAGAGCCTGTCTTATATATATATTTTTGTCGAACAAAAAAGGCATCAGGTCTTATTTTCAGGGAAAGTCCTCCACTGACGAACCTCAGTTGCACACGTCGCCCTGGCCTCCTTTTTGCTGTCAGAGACCTTCAGGAACTTCTGCGGCCAGCAAGTCTTTCCTGAAGGCCTCTGTAGCCGATAACAGAGCTCCGGATCGATCCAGAGCTTTGTTATCAGCTACAGAGGCCTTCAGGAAAGGCTCGCCAGCTGCAGATGAAATGGGCCGGCAAGGCAGGTGTCAGGGTATGTGAGTCCTGGCTACAACTGTCTAAAGTAGGAGGGCAGCTCTACCCTCCCATAGCTTAATTTTTACCCATCCACTCTGAAGTGGGCAGGATCTTAATTAGGGCTTATTTGGGTGGTAGGGCTTATATATATATTGAGAGCACATGTAAAAATCAAGCCAGGACTTATTTTCAGGGTAGGTCATATTTTCAGGGAAACAGGCCAGTAATGGTTGCACAGGTAGTCTTTGACTTACGACCACAATTAAGCCCCAAATTTTTGTTGTTAGGTGAGACATTTAAGTGAGTTTCACCCAACTTTACCACGTTTCTTGCCACATTTGTTAAATGAATCATTGCAGTTGTTAAGTGAATCTGGCTTCCCCATTGACTTTGTTTGCCAGGTTGTTGCAAAAGGAGATCACACGTCCCTAGGGCATAGCAATGATCATAAATATGAGCCAGTTGTCAAGCATCCAAATTTTGATCACATGATCACAGGGATGCTGCAAAGGTTGCAACTTTGAAAAAAAAAAAGGTTGCGAGTCACATTTTTCAGTGTCGTAATTTTGAATGGTCATTAAACAAACTGTTGTTAAGTCGATGACTACCTGTATAGAAAGTGAATGCAGAATACTTCATAAAAATTGTTAGATGTCAACACTAAAGTCATGTTTTCCCAGCAAGAGCAAGATCTGAGCTTATTTTTACAGGCCACCTAAGATAAGACTACAGCAGAATTTAGTTACTGATACCCAAAATGTTTTTTTTTTTTTTAATCACAGGGTCGGCAAATACATACTTCTTTGCAACAGTACACTGTAAAACCTCTAAACCAAAAAGTCTTATAAATTTCAAAAATGCTCTTTCATTCTCCGTATTGCAGATAGTCATCGCACATTTGCTTTTTGTTGTTGAAATATTGCTAAACTTCGAATTCCACTTAGTATTTTTATACTGAAAGGAGCTGTGTGTATCATTAATTGCATTATAAGCAGCTGCATGCAAAGCTTCATATTCTGACCACGAGGGATGGTACAACCATCATAAATACGTACCAGTTGCAGCAAGCATCCTAAGTGCGAGGCCTGGTTATAAATCACTTTTTGCACTGCCCTTGTAATCACGATTCAGGCGCATGCGCCTGCCCCTCCCACAAAACCATCCCTTATTTCCCCTCCAGGCTGCCAATCCTGAAAGGTTTAGGAACTCCGCTCCGCAGGCAGCACCTGAATCTCAACCCAGAATAACTACACACCAAGCAAAAACCTTCAAAAACGTAAGGGGAGAAAAAAAAATAGGCAAATACCACAGAGCCAGGCAGCCAATTGCTCATCATTGACACAAGACATTTTCTGACTGCTCCTTTTGCCACCTTTGGGAGTCCCTGATTTCTGTCCTGTGCTTCCTCCCCTCAGGGGCTCTTCCAGAGGGCTCTTACAGTACAGGTGATCTAAGAGCCCTGTGCCAAAGACGTCCGTGTTGATAGGCCCTTCCACTTCCATCTGACTACGGCAGTCTTCGTTCTGGACCGACGCCATGACAGGTCCGTTAGTGCAACCATCGCTTGTGCCCAAATCCAACTTGGAGGACTCCAGGACCACCTCATCGGAACCCATCACCTGGCTGGATTCGTCCTCGTCCTGCCCTGAAACCGAGATGTCTTTTTCCGTTACGATGAAAAGGTCTTCGGGACAGCCGTCCAAGGATGGAATCTCTCCCACGTCCGCCCTGGGCAGGGCCTCCGTCCCTGAAGAAGGAATTTTCTGCAACTCCGGAAGCAGGCAGCTTTCCGCGATACCATTTTGATCTCGGGGCGCCAAGTTTTTGTAATGGAGCTGCCTACAATGAAAGAGTCTCTCCTGCGTAAGGCAAGCGTCAGGCCGACACGTTTGAGTCTCCTCAATAAGTGGTCCTGGCATGTTACTGTTCATATCTGAGAAGCAGAACAGATCCCAAGGAAAGTTACGCTTGGATTCCCGTGAAGGAAGCGAGGCCCTGTGATCCTCTGCGAAGGCCTCTGCCTGCTGAGCCTCTTGCCAATCCCTTGTTACTTTCGCCGCCCAGCTCAGCTTGCTTTTGTTTAATTTACACGATTTGCCTCTCCGAAGCCTGGGAAGAGATTTCGCAATTCTAATTCGAAACTGAACCAGAGAAAGTTTTTTATGCATCATAAATAGGAATCTTTTAAAAGTACACTGGTTGAATTTAGGCCGTCGGGCAATCAAGAGGCCGCAAGTTCCATGTTGCTTCAGTCGTCGGCAACAATATTTTCTCGTAGAGTTATTTAGAATTATGATTTCATTTTGTTTTCCATCATGATTACGGCCTCTCCTTTTCAAAACAAGACTGTCCCTTTTACGCGACAAACTAGTAATGCTGGCCTCGGGGCTGTATGGCTTGTCTTGACAAACCTTTGAGTCAACCCCTAAGCCAATGTATTTAGCCAGCAGCTCACTCTGGCAAGTTGTGCTGTGAAGCCCCCTGCACCCTGAACGGAGCCTTCCACACCTGGAGAAAGGGGTTTTGAATCTATTTTGAGGACATGTGCAGTCCTGAATAAATCCAAATGGCAGATTTATATTGAAGAACACATCAGGAGTCCAACTTCTCTGCTGCAGAAGAGACCTCCTCCTGTAGGGTTTAGTTTGTTTTGTATTGAAAGCTGGCTGACTGCTTTGCTTCCTTCTTCTAAGTAGAGGCAGACGCCTCTTCTGGAAGCAGCGTGGCCTTGGCCCCCAAAGTCCCACAGTCCATTTTCGACAACTGGCCAGTGACAGACTTCTCCAGTGCAAGTTTTGACTATGCTCTTTCATTTTTCTGCAGCATTATGATCCCAAAGTGAAGCTGCAATGAAAAAGACAGAATTACACAACCGAATACATGCAGGTTGTCTCATTTACCATTCTCCAGTAATGTATAGGTGGTCCTCGACTTACAACCACAACTGAGCCCAACATTTCTGTTGCTAAAGTTAAGTTCATTTGTTAAGTGAACTTTGCCCCATTTTATGATTTTTCTTGGCCCAGTTGTTAAGTAATCACCACAGTTAAGTTAGTTATACAGTTTTTAAGTGAATCTGGCTTCCCCATTGACCGCTTGTCAGAAGGTCACAAAAGGGGATCATATGACCCCCAGACAATGCAACCATCATAAACATGAACCAATGGCCAAGCTTCTGAATTTTGATTATATGACCATGGAGATGTTGCCTGAAAAAACGGTCATAGGTCATTGCCATTGTAACCAAACGGTCAAGTAAACAAAGTTGTTTTAAGTTGATGACTGCCTGTAATGGCTTAGATCAGTGGTCGCCAACCCAGTGGGCCAGGGACCACTGGTGGTCCGCAAGAAAGTTTTGGTGGTCTGCAGAGAAATGTCACTCCCAAGTCACCCCCCAAAGCAATTAATCCAGGCTGTGTGGGAACACAAGGCTTGCGTCCCTTGCATTGTGAACACCACGAGGTAGTGAGGGGAAGGGGGGAAAGGGAAGAGGGGGGGACTTGCCCCAATCGCCCCACAAGCCACCGGGCTCCTTCTTTCTGCTTTCTTCTTCTGCTTCTGGCTGCCCACAAGAAAAGCAGCAAAAGTCTGCTCCTCCAAACTCCGCCAGAAATGAGTCTTTGGGACCCTGCAAGGCCTCCTGCTCCAAGAGGCTGTGCCGGCGCAACCAATCTCACAAAGGCTCATTTCTGGCGGAGTCTGGGGCAGAGAAAGCTGCTTCTGCTTTCCTTTCATGAAGCCAAAAGTCTCTCCTCTCCCCCGAGAACGGAGCTGGAGATGGTATCCTGCGATCCCAAACAAAGAACGATTGATCGGTAGGAAAACTGGGTGGAGATTTTCCCAGGGTTTCTGGTCTGCGGGACTTACAATTATGAGTTTGGTGGTCCCTGAGGTTCAAAAAGGTTGGCGACCCCTGGCTTAGATTAGAATCTCCTCCCTGAATAAAAAACGTACTTTTTCACAAAGGGACCCTACAATATCAATAACTTTCTTTCTGAAGAACAGCTTTAGTGGTGGTACAGTGGTTAGAGTGCAGTATTGTAAGCTAACTCTTCCCATAGCCAGGAGTTCGATCCTGAGCAACTCAAGGTTGACTCAGCCTTCCATCCTTCCGAGGTGGGTAAAATGAGGACCCAGTTCATTGTGGGCAAATATGCTGACTCTGTAAATTGCTTTGAGAGGGCTGTAAAGCACTGTGAAGCGGTATATAAGTCTAAGTGCTATTGCTAAAGCCTACAGATAGGTCACAACCAACTTTGCCCATTGCTTATTGGTAGAATACAGGAAATATATGACCTAATCCAGGGATGTCAAACTCAAGGCCCATGGAACAGATCCGGCCCATGGAATGCTTAGATCTGGCCCGCGGGGCCGCCCTGGAAATACTGAAAGGCCGGCCCATGGTGCTTCTGCCAGTGAAAACGGAGCTCGGGAGGACCGCTGGCAGAGGGCTGCAGGAGGATCCCCCCACGCATGCCCGGGCCATCACAAGTACCCCTGACATGACTACACCCGCCCTGGCCCTGCCCCCCCACCCCCCAAGGTCAAACACAACCCTCAATGCAATTGAGTTTGTCACCCCTAACCTAATCCCTTCTGCTTTATGCAAATTCCTAACTGCATCTATATTCCTGCCACAAAATCACTAGGCATCCTTACACAAACCACTGTGCATCCAGACAACAGTCGTATTTACAGGAAGTGATTACAGGAATAAGTGGGGAACTGAGCTAATTCAGGACTTTCTATTTCAAGAGGTATGGAAAGAGCCTTGATTTGAACACTTGAAGTCTGTTCTATAAATGATGACTCGATTGCAATCTCACTCCCACAGTTTTAATCATCCATTTCTTAGTGTTGTCTCTTCTACCCTATCCATCCACACTCCTTCCCACCCTCCACCCAATCTTCCTCAGATATTCCGGATCACTGTTCCCAAGAATTGGGACAATTGGGTACCAAAAACTGAACTAGCTCTTCTAACTGAAAATCCGGATACCGCACCATTTTTACCGAAGACTGCTTTCATAATTGTGGCCTACATGACTCAATTATTGTCGTTTGTGTATAACCATCGCATCCTTTGAAGGCATCACTCTCAGACCTCAGTAAAACAGTCTTGAAGCCATCTGTACTGATACTGTGGTGATATGTAATGTAAGAGCCAAACAAAGGTGAGCTGGTCTTTTATTACAGCAGGTGACCGAAGCAATCAGCTTCTGTCCTATCAAGGTCATCTTAACCACTGAGAGCTAATCAGTGCAGAGCTCATTCAACCCCACCTTGCAGTAATAATAAAAAAAGAAAATCAGGGGGAAAAAGGAAGAAGATGAAGAAAAAGCACTGATGGACAGAAAGAAAGGTACCTACAGTGTGTGCGTGTGTGTTTGTGTTGTATTTTGAGGCAATCTTCTGAACTGGTTTGCAAAAATTAAAGACTGATGGAAGGCAGATGCTTGATAAGTAACAAGGAATATTCTTTTCAACTCCTCTGAAGGCAGGCAGGCAAGCCAAAATGGAGGGATTGCAAAATTGCAATGCTATCCAGAACATGCACAGCTCACAGGATATAAAATTATGTTTGCTCAGATTTCTAAAAATCATGAGGCGGTTTTTTTCCGTTGTGTGTGATGCTTATTCCTCCAATCTGGATTAATACTGTAACTGAAATATATATTTAAACCATTTGTAACAAGGTGCGAATCCAAAACCGTATGTTCTGAGCTTTAAGTGAATGTGTATTTATTGAACAAAACTCAAAGTACCTCAAATGTTCACTATTCAAAACGGACAGAAACGTGAAAAATGGGAACTTAAAAGCAGCATTTTGCTGCTTCCTCATGCTCTATTTTAGGGCCACAAAAGTAGGCACGCTGCCAACATGGTACTTCAGTCTTAATCTATAGAGAAACTACACATATTTAAAGGACGTTGAATCCATGGTTTGTAACACAGTATTGCTGCCCCTAACGTTTTCTGTTTTCTAGAATGTTCTAAATGCAAAATGTGCAGGTTAAGGCATCAGGCTAGGAACCAAGAAACTGTGAGTGCAAGTCCCATCCTAGGCCTGAAAGCTGGCTGGGTAACTTTGGGCCAGTCATTGTCTCAGTCCAACCCACCTCACAGGATAGTTATTGTGGAGAAAATAGGAGAAAGGAGTATTAAAGTATGTTCATCACCTTGTATTGTTTATAAAAATAATAAAGGTGGAATATAAATATTGTATTATTTTCATTGTGTTCCTTTGTCATGCTTTATTTTATTCTATTATTTTAGTTCTGCTTCCCCCTTTCCTTTTCTTCCTTTTTATTATTGTAAGCTTCAAATGTGCCTTCAGCCTGAATTGTTTGCAGGTGCCTGTCTTGGCTAAGTATATGAGTATCACTTTTTAAATATTCTGATTATTGCGCTCTGATTTGTCCTTGCTTCGTTATTCACTGGCATGTCTCAAGTGGGTGGTTCACAAATTTTGCAAATAAAATTAAGTAACACTATTACTGAGATTTCAGATTCGCAGGTGCCATATGGAAAATTATGAAGGTTTATTTCTTTGCTAAGCTTTGGAGGAAAAACTGGAAAAATGTTAACTTTGCAAACATGTGCAACAGGAAGAAGCATCAAGACAAATATTTTTGCTGTTATGTTGCAGGTATTGTATGAGTCTATTGCTGCTGCTTCTTTGATATCTGTTTTCTGACAGATGCTTTAAACAGGCATTGGTTGTAAAAGTTGCTTAATTGTTTTTCCAGTGTTAGGGGCATTTCAAAATAGGAAAAAAATCCATCCCCTACTCAGGTTGAGTGGTAGTAGCACTTAGCCTAGATTCACATTCTACTTTGTGGCCTATTGCTATAAAACAAGAAAGCAAAGGAACCATTTCAAATTTCCACGATGAAAATAGCAAAACAACCAATTTTTTTTCCCAAGCTTTATTTTTCTGGGACATTCTTCAAGTGAAGGTGGAATAACTCTTTTGTTCAAATGCAGAGGGGGGAACACTTCATTTTATAAATAACGACATTAGTTTCTAGGCAATTTTCCTGAATGTATGCTTTTTGTATATCTTTGCCATTAAAGGGGAAAGATTTTAGCTGTAAACCTGTTTCCACTTTACATATACGTAGTCCTCGACTTACAATTGAGCCCAAAATTTCTGTTGCTGAATGAGTTAATTTTGCCCCATTTTACAACCTTTGAAAAGTCACTAAATGAATGGCTGTAAGTCAAGGACTACCTGTAATGGTTTCAAACATGCAAACCGATAAAATTTTCATTGCTATCTTTTTAACCAAATTCGACCACAGAAAATTCACCTGAAATAAAATTATGATTTGAAGCCCTATCCCAAATTTAAACATACACACAGAGAATGCTAGTATTTTTGTTTCAGAATGCTTACTTTTAGTATCAAATAATATATAGCACTGACTTGCTTCCCCCCCCCCCCCCCCAAGGAACTGCAAACAGTAGAAATTCTGAAACATTTTCTGCTCAGACTTTACCAAGGTTTCATTCTAAGACATTTTTCTGGCAGTAAGTCAAGCTATTTTCTCAAATGTCCAAAATATCAGAAGACTGACTATGGCTTCACATGCTTTATATATTTAAAAGTCAATTATTAGTAATCTCTTGTTGAATTTTTTTGTCTGCTAAACAGCACATTTTTGGAAAACTGTACATTTTATTCTTGTGTAAATAGTTACTGACTGACCACATATTGGCAAGTAACAAAAGCAACACAAGCAGAAGAGGGCAATTATTCAATGCCAGGGGAACTACTGGAAAATGTGGTGGACTCTAGTTATCTAAGCAGTTTTGCTACATGGGACAGCATAATAGTCACAAAAATATAAAAGTATTAAAACAATATTGCAGCACAATGTTCTGGAGTACAAAAAAACAACAACTGGAGATGGACTATACTCAGCTTTCTTCCACTCCAGCTGATAGTCACTGAAAATAACTGCTCTAAAATTCAAAAGGAAAACAACAAACACATTTCAAATCTGCTCAGGATGCATACTGTAAGCAGATATTAAAGCCCAAATATCTGAAAGTCACAATTGGAAGAAGTCTGATCTACTCAGAAATGAGGAAAAGTATCTGAGATCCTGAGATGTTATTGCTTGAAACCATTTCAAAAAGTTTATGCACAACTCAAAACCTTCTAGACAACTAGACACAAGAACAGTTTTTCCCCCGAAAGCCATCACTCTGCTAAATAAATTATTCCCTCAAGACTGTCCAACTATTACAAAGTCTGCACTACTATTACTGTTAATCTTCTCATCACTCCTTATCACCCATCCCCTCCCACTTGTGACTTTATGACTGTAACTTTGTCCCTTGTATCCTTACGATTTATACTGTTTCCTAGTATGATTTGATTGCTTATTGTACCCTATGACTATTATTGTTCTACCTGATGATTCTTGACTCTTGATGAATGTATCTTTTCTTTTATATATACTGAGAGTATTTGCAACAAGACAAATTCCTTGTGTCCAACCACACTTTGCCAATAAAGAATTCTGTTCTATTCTGTTCTTCTGTTCGTTCCCCCCTCCCCCAAAATATTACACTGGCAGAGGAGAGACCTGTACATTTTAAGTTCATTGTTCTCAACTGGAAATGATTTCATGACATCATTTTCTATAGAAAAGGAGAGCTCACTCACTTTTATAAGCTCATCCTTATAAAACTAAATTCCAGCCATCCTGGCATTGAAACCACACCGTTTTTCCAGCAACGTGATAAATAGGCTACATTCAAATTTGCAGAAACCAGGATCCACATCTTTCAGATTTCTTACCACTACCACCCATACCTCAATGTCACAGGCCTGTCTCCTGCCCCACACAAAGGGCTTTCTATCAACATTCTAAACTCCACTTTAAAAATCAGACCACAGATTTATAGCCTGCAAGATGTTAACAAAGAAGTAACCAGCCTCTAAAGGATGGAATGTCTGATCTTTCTCTGCTGGTTGCAGAGGAAGAATTTCTCCCTGTGCAAATGGCAAAGGAACCAGAGGAAGGATCTGTTGTTTTTCCAGACAACTCATTCATCAACATGGAACTCCATATACTCCCCTGCATCACTTTCCCAACTGCCTATGGCTGCGTCAGGAAACTGTTAAATACTAGCCTGTTTAAAATTGCTAAATTACGAGCTTGTCACACCCTAAAATATGCTGCAACATAGACATTGTCCCAAAGTCAGATAAATCTGACTTGTAAGTACATGCCAGACCTCAGATTATGAAGGCAAGCAGTACACAGTGCATTTACCAGCACTGTGCTCTTCCCTGCAATACCCCTTTCAACATACACAAGAGTAGGATGCAGTCCTTTGTTTAATTAAATGCAATGGTTCACAACTTGTAGTCCACAGGTGTGATATCATCACAGCAGGTCCGAAAAAGGCTTGAAGAAATGTTACGATTTAAATCTTGAATTAGGTCTTGGTGGTCCATGGCCACAAAAGTATTTAAAGAGGGTCCGTGTTGAAAACCACTGACTTAATGCACTATGAACTTGAGTCTCCGTGTTTTTAGATCTAAACTGATCAGCATCTGGTAAATCCCTGTCTGGTTCTCCTGGCCAGACTTTTCTTTATGCTAGGGGAAAAGAATAAAGACTGGTGGAAAGACTGTCCCAAAAATAATGTCCAACAAGCCACATCCTAAGCATATCTAGTTCTTCTACCTACAAAATAATTCTGTTCTTTGGCTAACGGAATTTTATAATGGAATAAAATCTTTAGGCTTCCCATCCTTCCATCTGCAGCCATTTAACAATCAAGATGGTTGTTTCCACGTAACCATAAGCTGCCAATGTAACACTCACCCATTTATTCTTATCCAGCTTCTTAAGTATGTCAATATAATCAGTACAAGCATGCGTATTCACCAGTGACTATTATATCAGTTCTCTCTCTTCACATTGGATTTGGTAAGACATCTGAAATATGAAAATGCCTTTTTTTTTTTTACATTTTCTGAGCAGTGTAAAAATCTGTGGATGCAGATCAACACTAGTCACCACCTTCCATAGTGATCTATCAGGTGTCTGTTGAGAACCACAAACAAGGCACAAAGAGATTTCTCCTGACTAGGAGCTTCTACCAGCATTATCTTACAGGTTGTCTCATCCGCCTTCAATCCCTTTAGCAACTGTCAGCATAACTTGTGGAAGCATGTTCCATCAATTAAATGTCTGATTTAAATTTCAACCCTGATCATCAGTTTTATTTAATAACTCAAATATTGTGAGGACAGGATCTGGATTTTAGTTCCTCCTTGAATGTAACTATACCAAAACACATTGAACCTAAGTGTCTTAAACAGGTCTGTGTTTTCCCATGCAGCCAAGAATAAAGTGCTTGCCCTTGAAAAAAAAATACAAGTATTTCCAAACAGCTTGTGAAAAAAAATTCTCAGCAGAAAAAAAAAGTTTGTTTTTTTTTAAAAAAAACCTGCTTGGCATCAGCAACTTATCTCTGTACAATCTGCAGCCTGAATATGTACTTCCTTTTCTTCAGGTTTAATTCTAATAAGGATTTTCAGAGAAGATACACGGCTCTGTCTGTATGTCTTTAAAGCAGCTTTGTTGTACTGTGCTTCTTAGATATATAACTACCTCCTATTCTGATACTTTCTTCATGGGAAAATCTTAGATGAAACATTTCTTTTATTGTTACCTTATTGAAAATATGCTTTTATATAAGCTTGTGTTTATATTCTCTGAATCTTCTTTCTGAAATTAGATATATCGTTATTTTCACTCCCTTTTCCACACTTATCTTCTCCACACCATGGGGAAAAAAAATCTCAACACTGATTCACAATCTGTTTTAGTTTCCCTAACACTCCCCAGCATGCATATACAGTCACTTCTTTCTGGAGCTCTAACCTTCACTGTCAATTTCTGATTTCTTTGTATGTTCTTAGGCATAGTTCCTTTATGGGAAAGTTCCAGTTCCTGCAGATGACTGGATGAAACAGATCTGCACAGGATTATAAAGGACCATAAAGCAGTATGTAAGTCTAAGTATTATTTCTCTGCAGGAAATTCCGACTATCAGTTATTTAAAGGGGGGAGATGCCTTTTCTAAGCGAAAACATTACATTACTGGAGGAGAAGGCCAGAGCTAAACCAGAAGTGTTTTGTGTCAGAGTTCCAATCAGTTCCTTGATACCACAACATACCTCTTAAGAGCACAGAGAAACCATTAAAAATGTTGCAGGTGGGATTTAATTTGGCAGCGAGTCTCGTAAATAAACAGAGGTCACAATAAACCAGCGTTAGGACTTTTTTGGGGGGGGGGGGGGCATCAGGTTCTTAAATGGCTGGACCTTCGGATTCTACTGAGGAAAGAGAGGGAGAGATTGTATTTTTTGGGGGGGGGGGGGAGCCATGTTCGTTTTGTTGCCTCGAGTCCCTCGGAGCTTTTTTTTTGTGAGCCCCTTAAAAATCGAACCCAAGAAACGGTCGCTCTCCCGGCTTATCAAGTTCATCGGAACCGGGGAAGGGAGGTGTTCCTCCGCCGGGTAGATTTCATTAGAAACGGGCCGAGGCGAGTCTCTGGAGCTGACCCGAATCAACGCCCTTTGGGAACACAGAGCCCCCCCCCCGCCCTCCCCGGGGAGGCAGCTGCTTCCCTCAACGGACGCCCATCCTCGCCCCCCACCCAGGCAATCCCTCCCCCGAAGGGGACAATATCCCCTCCCCACTTCCCCCGGGAACCCCCCCCCTCGCCCCCAGGATTCCGGCCGGAGGACGGGTGGTGGGGTGGCACTAGGCCGAAAGCCGGCCCTGCCCATCCGTCACTCACCGCCCCCCCCCCCCCCCCCC